ATTAGAAAGGTAAACATTATTGATGTTTCTTCTTTGGAGGATCATGTCGAGAATTTCTTCAAGTCGTACGCAGAGTATGATACTTTAAGATCATCAAAGATGACTAAAGAACCACATGAAAAGGCCCTCTCTGATGCACAACGCCGTCTCGATGGTGCAAGGATGGCACATGAAAAGTTGGATGGATCCATGGAGAAACTTCAAGCAACTCTAGCAGATGTGGAGAAAGACTTAAAAGCCTTGACTTACAAGAAAAAAAAAGGTCACTATGCTCATTAACAAATATCAAGAGAAGTTGTCCAAGAGTCAAGAGAATGTCACCATTACGGAGGGCGATATTTATACCATTGAGGCAAATAATGTGATGTCTAACGATGAAGTTGAGAGACTAGCCAAGCTAGAAGCGGCGGTTGAGAAAAGTCGCCAAGAAATCATAAGCTTCAAACTTTTTCCGTAGTTAGATTTTTATTTATTTATTTGCTTAGGATTTTCTAATTCGCTCATTATGGTGCAGCGGTTCTTTCTTCTTTTTTTTGAAGCAATAAAATAGTGACTTATATTTCAATAAGAATTTTCTCCTCTTGAATTTTGATTGTTTCTTTCCACGAGCCCCCTTTCCTTAAAAAACAAAAGACTCCATAAGCTAGCGTGTATATGAGGATAGCAACAAAACATTAACTTTTCAGCTTTGCGCACACGAGAAAGAAAATTCATAACGTGGAGTAGGAGCACCGGAATAATGACCTTATTTTTGTTGGAAAGATAACTTCAAGATCTTCGATCTATATAAAAATCACGTCCATAGGATTTACGGATTAATATAGATTTGTCTCCAAAGTCAGCTCAAAATCTGTGTGCTTGAATTTTCAGTCTTCAGCTTTGCGCACATGAGGAAGAAAATTCATAAAGTGGAGTAGAAGTGCCGGACTAATGAGCTTCTTTTTTTGTTGGAAAGATGACTTTGAGATCTTCAATCCATATAAAAATCACGTCTATAGCATTTACGGATTAATACAGATTTTTCTTCAAAATCAGCTCAAAATCTGGGTGCTTGAATTTTCAGCTTTCTTCAGCTTTGCGCACATGTGGAAGAAAATTCATAACGTGGAGTAGGAGCGCCGGAATAATGAGCTTCTTATTTGTTGGAAAGACGACTTCGAGATCTTCAATCCATATAAAAATCACATCTATAGGATTTACGGATTAATATAGATTTGTCTTCAAAGTCCACTCAAAATCTGGGTGCTTGAATTTTCAGCTTTGCGCACATGAGGAAGAAAATTAATAACGTGGAGTAGGAGCGCCAGAATAATGAGCTTCTTTTTTTGTTGGAAAGACGACTTCGAGATTTTCAATCCATTTAAAAATCACGTCTATAGGATTTACGGATTAATACAGATTTGTCTTCAAAGTCAGCTCAAAATTTGGGTGCTTGAATTTTCATTTGAAAGAATTAGCATGATATTAATATGGTGACGTTTTTTTTTTATTCTTATGACTAAACCTAGAGTAATAATACTCTAAGCTACCTACGTACCTCAGTGAAGAGGATCAACTCATTATGTAGTTCAGAGAATGAATTTTTTATTTTTTTTTGGAGCCGTACACAATTTATACTCTTGCGGGCCAGGAGTATGACTCTGCTTAAGGCTGAGCACCGGAACGGGTTGTACCGGTACCGTTCCGGTCCGGTAGTATTCGGGACGAGATGGGATACATTGAACCGGTACACAGAACGGAACGGTATTATGATATACCGGTTCATCCCGGTTCATTCCGGTTCCGTTCCGGTCCGGTCCCGGTAAATCATTTTTAATTAAAATAAAAAATAATATTTTTGTCATTATTTACTTTTATTAGCATTTCTTTTTTGTTTATTTAATTTTTTAAAATTACAACCTTAAGTTATTTAACTTACAAGTTATAAGTATAACTTAATAGCTTAATAACTTATAAACTTCAAAAGATTCAAATCTTTAAAACTTATAACATAACTACATAAGCTCAAAAACTTTTTAAAAAAAACTTTATTAAACTTAACTTACAAACTTATATACGTAAAAATTTAAAAAAATATCTTTAAAATAAACTTAAGTAAACTTATTATAAATTTTAAAACTCAAATACTATAAACTAATATAACTTAGAAAAATAATAAAAAACATTCGTATTTTCGTAATTCAAAATAACTCAAAAAAAATAATTATTTTTTGAAATAGCTATATGTGCCGTCCCGTTTATTCCATCCCGTTCCGTTCCGGTCCATTCCGATCCGTCCCGGTTCTATCCCGGTATATAGTGGGACGGGACAGAACTGAGCCTCCATCCCGGTAGTTTCGGTCCGGTTCATCCCGGTACCGTTCAACAACCCAGTCAAACCGTCCTATTCCGGTTCGGTACCGGTTCGTTCCGGTCCGATCGTCCCATTCCGGTCCGGTGCCCAGCCTTATGACTCCGCTTCAAGGATAGTACTTCTTCAAGAATTTTCCATTGATGGGACCAATCCGCAAGCCGTCTGCATCCACAATTTTGTAAGCTCCGCTTGAATAGACTTCTTGAATGACATATGGTCCGTCCCATTTTGATGTAAACTTGCTTTTCGATTTATGAGATATGATAATTGGTCTTCTTACCGCAAGGACTTGATCACCGACTTGGAAAGACCTTAGGCGAACCTTTTTATTGAAAGCACGAGAAAGACGAGCTTGATAGCACTCAAGACTTTGTTGAGCTTCCAACCTTTTCTGATCGAGAGATTTTAACTCTTCAAGGCGCATACAAGCATTTTCTTCTTCAGTAAGTCCCTCTTGGATGGCAAGCCTCAATGATGGTATTTGTCGTTCAAGTGAAAGGACTGCTTCAGTTCCAAAAATAAGAGAATAAGGAGTTGCTTGAGTCGGCGTGCGATGAGTCGTCCGGTATGCCCAAAGAGCTTCTTCCATTCTATCATACCAATCCCTTTTAGATTTGGAGACGACCTTCTTTAACAAGTTGCACAAGGTCTTGTTAAATGCTTCAGTTAGTCCATTTGCAGCAACATAATACATTGATGAATTACGTTGCTTGAAGCCAAAAAGGTCGCAGATCTTATCCATCAATTTTTTATTGGTGAATGACTTTCCATTATCTGTTAGTATATAACTAGGAATGCCAAAACGATAGATGATGTTCACCCTGATGAAGTTTGCAACATTTTCCTTCTTTACTTCTTTGAGGGCTATAGCCTCAGCCCATTTCGAGAAGTAATCTGTCGCAGCCAAGATGTACAAGTGACCACCAGAAGATTTAGGTAGTGGTCTAACCACGTCTAGACCCCAAGCATCAAATGGCCAAGATGCAACAGTCGGATGTACTACATCATGAGGTTGGTGCATAAAGTTTGCATGAAATTGGCATGCTTGACATCTTCGAGCATAATCCAAGCAATCTTTTACCATTGTTGGCCAATAATACCCCATTCTTTTTATATGAAAGTCTAATTTGGGCCCAGATTGATGTGATCCACAAACTCCAGAATGTGATTCTTGCATAGCTTGAATCGCTTCTTCTTCCCCCAAACAACGCCAGAGGACTCCCTCGAATGATCTTCGATATAGAGTATCTTTGTAGTAAAGAAACCTAGGAGCACGACGATGAATTTCGGTCTTTCTCTTTGGATCTTCTGGAAGTATATTATAACACAAGTAATCAATCAGAGTATGTCTCCAATCAACTATCTCAGCTTGTGAGACAGCTACAAGATGTTCAAATTTGCTTTCTTCATCCACATCCGGTGGTACTATCCATTTTTGGCAAATAGTGATTTGCGCTTGATCAGGCAGAGTTAAAGTTGAAGCCAAAGCGGCTAAAGCATCAGCTTTCTTATTCTCATTTCTTGGAACATGTTAAAGAGTTACATCTCTGAGCCATCTAATCAATTGTTGTGCATAGTCATGATAGAGACGCAATTCTGGCTTTTTGACTTCATAGCTACCCAACAATTGATTGATCACTAATTCAGAGTCTCCAAAAACTTGTAATTGCAATTTATTTATATCAACCGCCGTTTCAAGCCCAAGTATTAAGGCTTGATATTCTGCAACATTATTGGAGCAACATTGCGTTAAGGTGAAGGAATACGATAAGATCTCATCTCAAGAAGTGACAAATATCACCCCAGCGCCAGCTCCTTCGCGATGTGAGGCCCCATCAAAATACATCTTCCAAAGCGATTGAACCTCAACAACCATTGTATCTTCATCAGGTAATAATTCATCAGTGAGTTCCCAATCATCAGGTATCGAGTGGTCTGCTAAGAAGTATGTCAATGCTTGCCCTTTCACAGCCTTTTGAGGAACATACACAATTTCAAATTGTTGAAACTGGAGATACCATCTTGCTAGTCGATCATTGAGGACAGGTTTCGACATCACAAATTTGATGGGGTTGGCTTTAGAAATAAAACGGACGACGTGAGCTTGAAAGTAGTATTTCATCTTCTGAATTGAGAAGACTAAGGCCAAACATAGTTTTTCGATTGGCGAGTACTTCAACTCATTTGGTGTCATCATCATACTCAAGTAGTAAATGGAATTTTCTTTCCCTTTGCCATTCTCTTTGGCTAAGAGTGCTCCCACTGATCTTTCTTGAGCTGATATGTAAAGTATCAATGGCTTTCCAGGAACAGGAGCTGCTAAAATTGGTGGTTTTGTCAAGTAAGACTTGATGCTCTCAAAGGCATTACTACAAGCTTGGTCCCATTCGAAAAGAGTGCCCTTTTTCATAAGGCGACTGAATGGTTGGCACTTTCCTACTAGATTCGAGATGAATCTCCTAAGATATGCTAGCTTCCCTTGCAGACTCTTCAATTCATGGATGTTTCTTGGCTCTACCATCTTTAAAATTGCATCTACTTTTACTTGATCAATTTCTATTCCTCTATGTCGTACAATGAAGCCAAGGAATTTTCCAGAGGTAACTCCAAACGCACATTTCAAAGAATTCATTCTAAGTTGATACCTTCATAGTAGATCAAACACCATCCTCAAGTCTTGCAAGTGAGCACACTTTTTTCTTGATTTCACTTCTAAATCATCAGCATAACATTCAACATTTTTGTGAAGAATGTTATCAAAGATGTTTTGCATAGCTTTTTGGTATGTTGCTCTTGCGTTCTTTAAACCGAAAGGCATTACTTTGTAGCAATAAATGCCATTAGGAGTGCGGAATGCAGTCAACTCCTCATCATTTGGCGACATGCAGATCTGATTGTAGCCGGTTGAACCATCCATAAAAGACATTGCCTCATACCCAATAGTGGCATCAATAATAAGCTCAGGGATAGGAAATGAAAATTCATCTTTGGGGCATGCATTATTGAGATCCCTAAAGTCAAGCAAACTCGAATTTGCCCATTCTTCTTCCTCACAGGGACAATACTTGAAACCCATGTGGGGTACTTAACTTCACGGATAAAGCCAGCTTCAATAAGCTTGTTAACTTCAGTTTTGATCACGGGAACAAATTTAGGCCTAAAACGCCGTTGAGCTTGCTTGATGGGACGTGCACCGCTTTTCACAGCAAAATGATGGACTGCTACCTTCGAGTCTAATCCAGGCATTTCTTTGTAACTCCAGGCAAATACATATTTATACTCTTTGAGTAAGTCAACGTAGGCTTTTTCCTCATCACTCGCCAGTGAAGCATTCACATAAGTGGGTTTTTGATCTTCAACAGTTCCAAGGTTGATTTCTTTCAATGCATCAACTGTCATCTTTACTCTTTCTTCAAGTTCGGGTGACGCATCTTTAGCATCTTCATCTTCTTGAGGTTCTCCATCGTTGAAAGATATATGGTAACACCATGAAACATTTTCCAACTCTCCATCAATTTTAATTGGAGAAAAATTATGTCTTTCATCTTGTGTAGCGACATGATATGAAGAGCCAACATTTTCTTCATCTTCACCATGTTACTTGGTGTAGACCACAACATGCGACTTTGCCTTTAGTACTTCTCCATATGAGACCACAATGTTCGTCTGTCGCCTCATTCTAGAAGGGATTAGACTTTGAAAGTCTTTAGGAGTATTTTGAGATTTTGGTAAAGCAGATGCTTGCATACTTTTGCTATTTCTCCAAACCTTGTTTTTCTTCCTCAATGGCCCTAACCTCTCAAATACAAAAATCCTCTTCGTTGAGCTTCCAAGTCGATCAAAGACAGAAGGCCTTTTGTTAGAATTAGTAGACTCATCTTCCACAGTTATGTAGTTGTTGCTTACCCTTTTTATGGAGATGCGGATAAGTGGAGGTTGTTTGTAGCCCAACCCTTCACGTTGTTGCCTCATAGCAGATTCTGATGGAAGCTTCCCCAATTTTGATGGTTCGTTTGGATCGAATCCAGCCTTTACTAGCAGCCTGTAAGCATTAGGATCAAAACATTCTTCTGTACGCTTCATTGGGAGTGCTTCATATAGGGGTGACTTAGGGGCCATAAATTTTCCCTGAAGTAATGACTTAGAAGCCACAGACTTCCCAAGTAATTTTGTGGATGACTTCACCGTATCAATTCGCCTTACAGGAAGGGTCAACCCTTCTAGCGCATTTTCTCGCAACTTGAGAGAGTGTCCTTTGTCCTCCTTTGCCTTTGGGACATAACGAAGAATGGGTGTGACTTTTCAACTTGAAAAGGCACCAATCACGTTAGGCATCTTGTTTGGATTTCCAAGCTTTGAATCTTCCTTGTTTGCGACTTTTGCCTTACCAACCGCTACCTTAGCCATATTGTGAAGGAGTCCGACATCTCCGGATGCAATGGCATCAACTTTTATGGAATATTTCTTCAAGTAAAACTTTGCGTTAACAAAGTGCGCTTCAGCTTCAGTGAATGGATTATCATCTGCAATAATCCTTTTTGCAACTCCATCATCATAATACTTCAAACATTGGTGGTAAGTAGATGGGATTATTGTGTTCTCATGTACCCACGGCCTACCAAGCAAAATGTTATATGAAGTCTTTGCATCAATTACATGTAACCACACGTTTGATTGCAACTCTCTGATGGCAAGGTCTATTTTGACGGTCCTTATGGACCTTTGTCCTCCTTGATTGAATCCTTGGATCATCAAGCGACTATCAGTAAGATCTGTTGTTGATATCCCAAGTTCTTTCATTGTGTGAATTGGAAGGATGTTGATTCCAGTTCCTTCATCGACTAGGATTCTATTCACCCTTTTCTCACGTGCAAAACCAACCATGAATAGAGGGCGATTATGAAATGTGTCACAAAACAGAAGATCATCGTCAGAGAATGTGATTTTGGCCATACATGCATTTTCGACTCCAGGATATGACTGTGGAGCATCTTTTGGTGATGGACATGATGGATTTTCAACTTTAGGAGACAGCTTTGGAGCATCTTTTGGTGATGGACATGATGGAGTTTCATCTTTTGCTTCATTTTCATCGACATTACAACATAGAGCTTTTGTGCCATCTCATGTGAACTTGGTGTAACACCAATTTGGCAAATATTCTCCTAATGTAATGGGTCTCCGCAGCTCTTGGTAGTGGTGCACCTTTATTTCCTTCTTCTTTGAATGCACGATCAAAGTTTTGGTTTTGGGTCTCCTTACCATCTTTTCCCTGACATGTTTCCTTATACGAACTCATTTTTCTGTGTCTACGGCGAGTCACAAGAGTCCAGCCCCAATCATCTACTAAGTCTTCATCTTGTCTTGTTTATCCCTCTCCTACAGAAGCCACATCACGTAGTATAGGAAGAGATAACAAATTATTTACTTCAATGGGCTCGGAGTCTCCAAACTTAATCATTCTTGTTTGATTGGTGTTTGGAATGTCTTGCTCCATATTTCCTTCAACAAAATTGCAGGTCATGATCGGATTGGGTAAGTCAAAAGCGACACTGACTTGGTTTGAACTCAATTTCTCATTCAATCTTCCCTTCGCGAGCTAAGTCCATGATTTTATCCTTGAAGACGAAGCATTTCTCGATAGGGTGTCCAACCAACCGGTGATATTTGCAGTATTTTGGATCATCACTCCTCCCTGCTTCATCTGGTCGCTTCATCTCTGGTAACTCAAAAAGTTTCATCTCAAGAAGTTCATCAAAGATTGCGGAAACATCTGAGTCAAGAAATAGGTAGTCTTTCCGCTGCATTTCCTTCAAGGTAAGCTTTTGATTTGTCCTTCCTTCAAAAGAATTCGCTTTTGAGCTCTACGCACTGCCCACCCTTGTGGTGAATTTCACATGAAAGGCATTGACGTTCATGGATTCTTTGTTTTCAGTCTTTGGCAAATATTTTCTCACTTTCTTGAATTCTTGCCTTTCTTAGACTTTGCGGAGTTCGTGGACAGATGGTGCTTCAGTTCCGACCGACGACATGCTCAACTTCATATCATGAGCGCGAGTGGCCAACTCTTCAAAAGTTTTAGGCTTTATGCCTTGCAAAATATAGTGGAGACCCCAATGCATACCTTGAATGCACATCTCTATGTCCGAAGCTTCACTAAGTCTATCTTTACAGTTTAGACTTGCATGCCTCCATTGGTTGATGAAGTCAAAGATTGGTTCTTCATTTCGCTAACATGTGTTTGTAAGTTCCACCATGCTTACAGTACGTCTTGTGCTATAGAAATGGTTGAGAAATTCTTGCTCTATTTGTTCCCAACTATCAATGGAACCAGACTCAAGGTTTGTGTACCAATCAAAAGCATTGTCCTTAAGGGAGCGGACAAATTGTTTGACGAGGTAATCGTCGTATTGTTCCAGCATTGTTGCAACCTCGTACTTGTCTTTAATGGTACCCATGATGAACTCCTTGATTTGGTTGATCGGGATCGTTCCTTCCAAAGAAACTTGGATCTCTTTAGCATATTCAACTTGCTTTGTGGGGCGATCGATTGTCTCTTGGACTTACGGACGTTTTCCAGGTGCGTGACTTCATTCTTCATCCATCATGCCCTCCACCCTATCAGTTAGCTTAACAATTCGAGCATCTTGATCTTGAACATACTTGGTCAAGCCTTCAATAGCTCTTGTCAAGCTCACAAGTTGTTTTTCTACGGATGAAGTGTTTGTCACCATTGCGTGCATTACCATAGTAGGTGGCGGAGAGTAGCGTTGATTTTCCTTAACATGAGATGCAAACATGTTATGTGGGGTAGATCCCGTGCTTAAAACATCATTATCAGCCGTAGCGAAGGACTTCTTGTATGTAGATGGGCTCAATTGGGCAAGAACCCTCTCAACCATTTCGGTGATGTTTTCCTTTGCAACTTTTGTAGGAGACTTCACATGTTTTGGAGACAAACCAAAGACGGTAGCAGATTCGGACGGCACTCGTGAGGCTTGTTGTCCTAGCAATTTGGCTTGGTTCATTGTGATAGGTCTCATGTTTCCCGCAGTAACATCGAGGATGTTTTCGACATCGATGCAGAACTTGGATCCATCAGTTTTTGCAGATGCGTATACAAATGCAGATGCAGATTTCGATGTCGATGCAGATTTCGATGCAAATGGAGATTTTGATCCAGATGCGAATATGGATGTAGATCCAAATTTGGATGCAAATGCGGATTTCGAGTTGATCTTCTTGAAAGTCATCTCGGTGTTTTTGAACTCTGGTTGTCTTGAAGAGATTGTCCCACAGGGCGTGCCAATTTGTAAGCATCTAAAGTTTCAATCCTGAAATACAGTAAACATGAAAAGAAAAATAGCAAGCAAACAATAATATTTGTATTTGAATAAATGTGAAGGTTACAATCTTTATAAAATCTCTTAAAAAAAGATATGTAATCCCCTGATTCTTCTCTCCACAAATGTTCTTGATTTGGCGGAATACTTGCGGCTCAATACTTGGAGCGAAGACTTCTTTGTATGTGGATGACTTGCAGATCACCACTGAAGAGCAATTATGTATTTTTGTGTGGATGTATGGGTGTATATGTATTCTGGTCTTATGAAGACCTCTTTATATAGGCTTGAGCTAGGGCTTGAGGGGTATTTTGGTCCAAGCAATTTTGATCCCTGGGCCTGAAGAACATGAGTTGGGCTCATCTTGTCAACTTAATGGACTGGCCCAAATGTTATTTGGACTTGATTTAAGTCATATAATTTTGACTTAAATATGAATCCGACTTTATTAACCAGTAATTTGACTTGGTCAATGTATCATGAATTTAAGATATAATCCAAATTTATTATGAATTTATCAATAAAACTTCACTGTCTACACATGGTATTATGAAAATATACTCTCGTATGGACATATTTCTTTTTTCTTTTTCTCAACCAAAAATTTAAAATAGTATTTAGTTATATGATTTTTCTTTAAAAAAATAAGAAGACGAGTTTCGAGTTTATTTTTCAAGTGAATTTAAACGCATGTGCAAACACAAATTTAGAAATCCTTTTTCAAGTAAAAAATTATTAGTTCCTATTTTTTTTTATTCAAACGCATATGCAAACACAAAATTAAATACTCTTTTCAAAATCTATTTTTATAGTACTTCTTTTCTCTCCATTTATGTAGCATGATTCTAATTTTAAGAGCCACAACTATAAAATTTGATAATTAATTTGAGTATGAAATTTTTAAGTATTTTAATAAGGGTAAATCACATAAATCCCACTAGTTTAGGTCTTAATTATTAAGATTCCCAATAGTTTCAAACATTACTTCCTCTACCATATTTATGATTAGGATACATGAGTCTGAATCCATGAGATACATGTATCTGTCGAACTTTAAAATTGAGATACAAAATTTATTTATTTAAATTAATTGGTTGTAACTTATTTCCTTAATTAGAGGAGTAATTGAGGATTTTCAAAATACATAGATAATTAATTTCATTTTATTATTCTTTGAAATAGTAAATTCATTAATATTATTAATATAAGATAAAAAACATGTATATCTTGGTAATGTAATTTGATTAATTTCAAATTATTACTCTTAAAATAATAAATTCATTAATTTGATGTATCTATTATCAATATATGATGTATCCAACAAACTAAACATTTAGATACATGAGTGCCATACAAGTACATTCATATGTATCATAGAAGTATCTAGCATTAATTTCATGTATTTGTTATACGTATCTAGTATTAATTTTATGTGTATATATATATATATATATTAATTTCATGTATCTTTTATATGTATCTAGTATGAATTTGATGTATCAAGTATCAATTGCATATGTTATATCCAAAAACATGTATCTTGAATACATAGTAAACATATACATTTAATTATGTGTATCTAAATATGGAATATACACAAAGAAGAAGCATATACATCTAATTATGTGTATCTAAATTTCATACGTTATATCCAAAAGCATGTATCTCGAATACATAATAAGCATATACATTTAATTATATGTATCTAAATATGAAATGTAGTTGAAACACATGAATCTATGAACAAATCACGACTGTAGAGTATCTGTCGTATCATTAATATCATTGTGATGTTAAAAATCATGTATCCAAAATTTAATATATAGTGGATACATATACATGTTCAGATACCTCATTACTAAAAATACAACTCGAATCTTAATTAAGATTACTACTTATTGGATACACATGTTTCAAGGGCTATATCAAAGTAATATTGGTACTACCACATCCATATCACAGTAACCAAAGAAAGTCTTAGAAGAACACCAACAAACAAAAACTCTCTACAATATTCCCTTTGATCCTTTTGCACTGTGGCATAACATAATCAAAACTAAGATCCATTTCTTTCTGAGACAAACAATCAAGACCCACTATGAATTGAAAGTTTTCTCTGTAGCAGTTACTGTGATTGGAACTCGTGATAAATGAACAATACAAAATGATATTTTGGTTCATGATATCTTGAGAAGAAGAGAGTAGATTAACTATTGTTGAAATGAAATTGTAAGATGAAATTCTTGAATCAGAAAGGAGGAGACATAATTGAGTGATAAACATGGAAGGGGAGAATTAAGAGATAGTGGTTGATTTGGAGTGAAAGAGTTATTTAAGCAGATAATTAATCAATAATAGTTTTAAGGGATGTGGGTATCTAATAGTATTTTCAAATAACATATTAATATATGGTATAAAATACTAAAAATGGTAGTATATGTAATTGTTTAAAAGTAAAGATAATATTAGTATATATAGTAGTGATGTATGTCTAATAAGGTAGTTTATCCTTTTAATAAAATATATATTAAAAAATTATATATTTTAATAAATTATAATAACTAATAACTCAAAATATTTAAAAATATATTAAAACGTGTTATGTAAATTAGGACCGAAAAAACATCACACATCCCCTAAATAAGTAGAGAGATGAAAAGTGCACACGTGGAATAATAATTGTGTGGCAAGAATTGGGCATTTACTGAGATATTTTTATTAGTGAAATGTCAATTCACATGCTGCATTAAATTAAAATGGAAAAGGGCATGATGTAACAGATGTCAATCTGCTATTTGTTATCTTTTTTTCTACTACTCTCTATGTCCTGAGTTACTTGTTTAATTTTCCTTTTTTAGTTGTTCCTAATTACTTATTTATTTTGACAAATGAAGAAATGACAAATATTTTTTACCCATTATATACTCAATTAATTGCTTTGAAAAATATAGAACTT